CCAAGTCCAGACATGGCCCTTTATTAAGGAATTTGGAGCTTAATTGACTTTAAATGTATATTAAAATATAAACCATAAAACATACACATACAAAACATAAAACACCATCAAAAGAGCACACCATTTTCTAAAAGCCTATTTTAACTTGCTGGTGGAAGAAGAGCAAGGATGGAGCCATTCTGGCCCCACAGGAGAGGGAGTTCCAAAGCTCCTTCAAATACCATAGACCCAAGCCATATAGGGCTTTATAGGTTATCACCAGAACTTTGAATTGTGCCTGGAAATGGACCAGAAGACAGTGGAGCTGTTGCAATAAGGGAGTCGTTTAAGATGATAATGGCAGGGGTAGTTGTGACAGTACTTTTCAAATATTAAATTTTGCGGAAACATTTGGAGAAATGTCTTTATGGTTAAATGTGTTTGACAATGGAACCAATTACCTAGAGGAGTGGTGTGTAGGTGGGCTCTTTGGTGCTGGAGTTCTTCAAGTAAAGTGTAGACCTCATTCCTTGCAGATGCTCTAGCTCATGATTTTCTGCATTGAGGAGAGGATTGAACTAGATATATGAGATCTGTGCTAATCTACAAGGGGTCAGAAATGCAATCCTAATTCTAAACCTCATCTGACAGCCCTAGATCTTTTTGTTAATTTGAGGGTTATCACTGTGAGTAAAACAGAGTTCCATCCTGAGCTTATATAAATAAACTGGTTTATTTTCCTTTAACTATATGTGTGTATATTCTATTGCTCAGTCTAGAACTGGAGAGGATCTTTTGAGTATGACTTTTGGAATCACCTGCAACATCTGGGTAGAATCATCTGACCTTTGGCTTCCTTCCTTGTCTTCCCCTCCCCCTGACCCCTAACAATAAGGCTGGCATCATTTTTAACTTTTCGCACCATTTACCTGCAATTCTCGGCATTGCTGTTGTTTTGTTGTTGTTTGCCTTCAAGTCATTTTCCAATTTATGATTACCCCAAGGTAAGTCTATAATGAGATTTTCTGGGGCTGAGTGTGTGTGATTTGCTCAAGGTCATCCAGTGGGTTTCCATGGTCGAATGGGGAATTGAACCCAGACCACCAGAGCCCTAGTCCTATGCTAAAACCAATACACTATGCTGGCTCTCTGCTTAGTTTTCTGCCTGTTTTTATACCCTGAAAGTTTGTGCATGTTCATTTGACTTGGAAAATTGGGATGGGGGGGTGGGGGAGGGAGATAATGGTAAATGTTGCTTTTAGTGAGAGAGAGAGATGCAGCCAAAGAATGAAACTGAGTATCTTCTGTCCATTTGGGAGTCAGAAAAAAAAATCCAGGGATATGGGCCAAATTCAATTATGGTGATGGCTGGCTCTCAATCCTGGGACATAAGGAAACCAGCATGTGTGCTCCAAGAGAAATTGGGTGGGTGAGAGACTCAAGGATTCAGGCACTGCACTTGTCAATTTCATTAAGGGCCCCCAACCTTTCCCCCCATAATGTAAGGAAACCAGCTTGTGTTGTCCAAGAGAAGCCAAAATTGGTTTAAGAATATCCTAAGTCAGTTCTGGGCTAAGGCTACTTTTATTGATAGTAACTAGGCTTCTAGAAGATTATTGCCAGCAGATCGGTATGTTGCTAAAGTTGTCAAGATGAAGCCTCTGAGATAAGTCAGAATGAAACAATCACCAGCAATGACTTCTGACCTACTAAATTCATTACTTCAACACTGTTTCACTATTTTAGTTTTTAAGGTTTTCAATGTGGATACCAACCACTGTCACTGACCTCACAGGTCTATTTTATGTAAGAATAAAACAGAGGTGGAAGCAGAGGCACCTCAACACTGAGGAAACACATTAAGTAAATAAATCTGGTCTTCTCCAAAACTACTATCGGGATGGGAGGGGGGTTGAGAAGGGACTAATTTTGCATTTTATTGTATTCTATGTATTTTTATTGCTGTAATCTGCCTGGATTCCTTGTGATTGGGCAGGCTATAAATAAATGATTTATTATTATTATTATTATTATTCTCTGTTCATTTGAAATTCCACAGATTTTGTTGAATTGTTTTTTCTCCTCCTTTCTCATTAGTGGCTAGAGGTAGATTGGCTCTTTGTTGCATGTTTAAAATTCCAAATTCAATACAAGACAGTGTTTGGATTACACAGATGATGGGAGCTGGTTTTGTGTAATGTCCCTTAGCTACTGTGTTTAGAACACTAGGGGGCATACTATGCTAAAATTGGGTGGGTGGGGAGAGTCAAGGATTCAGGCACTGCATTTGTCCATTTCATTAAGACCCCCATCCACCCTCTCTCCTATAATTCGGTCCTTATTCACTGCTGTCAAGTATAACTGTACACTAGTCCTCTAAAATCATTTTGGAATGTATTCTTTTGCACGTTCTTGGAAAAGTGCATGAATCAATGGTGCATTGCTTTGCAGTAGTGTTTTGCTCATGTGCCATTTATATCTATACCCTTCTCCTAAAAAATAATGGCTTTTGCAAAAAACAAGAAACAAAATCTTGTGCACAGATATCAAGCCTATTTACACATGTCTTCCCACCTCTAAAACATCAGTGTGAGATCTCACAACTGATGTTTCCCTTTATAAGGTTAATCACTTGATCTGTAGTAGTCAAGGTTATTCTTATTTCTGTAGAGAATCTGTGGTCTAGAGAAACAGTTGCAGTTAAATTAGCAGCGTGACTAAGTTGTTAAGAACAGACCAGCAGTGTCACTTGCTCAGCTGGTCAACATTGTAATCTAAGGGACAGTTATGGCCACTTAAATCTCACTAAAATCAATAATACGTAAGTGCTGCATGGCAATTAATGTCTTTGCCATAAGATTCTCTTCTTGGGATTGCTAGAAAAAGGAAGTCATTTATACGACTAATGAATGGAATGTTCAGCTCTACAAGGCAGGCCAAATATAGTCCATGGTAAATAATAATAATAATAATAATAATAATAATAATAATAAT